ATTAATCTCAGGGCTAAAGAAAGACCTTGGACATGTTTAATTTGCTGATACATGTGCACACTCTGTGCTTACCTGGCACATCAATGAGTAAGGCCCCTCCGTAACCTCTCAAGTTCGGAAGGATGGAGCAGACTGTCACGCTGGCTCTCCCAGTTCCAGATGGCTTTGGCAATGAGGGTCCTACGCACAATTGCATAAGGAGGATCCTCACCTGCATCTTTACTCTCTCATTAGGGACTGTTGGACTTGTCAGTCCCACTAGCAAGATATGATTGTGTAAGAGTAATGAGAGCAGAGAAAAAGCTGGCCATCACGAAACTAACACTAATCAATGAAAAGCTGATGAGCAAAATGTTTTGTAACAGAAGATGTTGAGTGGATTAATTTTATTAAAGTGGCATTTAGCTAAAAATTTTTGGAAAAAAGCAGTGCAAAACCAGGCATAGTTGTGGTGATTCCAGGTGAGGGAAGTCAAGGGGCAGAATGTCACACTGTCATGCAAAGATACCCATAATAGCATCGAAATTACATAGCTGAGGAAGTACAAGTGAGGAATACAGCTGTGACATTGATGGGGCACTGCATGACAGCACAAGGTTGCACCAGACAGGGAAAATGGAGGTGCAGAATGCAGCTACTGCTGTCCTTTCCAGCAGAGGAAGAATGTGGGTAGAAGAGGCAGTCCACCATGAGAGGACCAGATTGCTTCAGTTCATGATTTCATCAGAGCCTCAGTGTGTGGACAAACCCCTGGGCATCTCCAGTTTCAAGATTTGTAAAAGCACAAAAGTATGAAGTAAATTAATATCTGGAGGTGAACAGCACTAAGTGTTCTCACAGTGTTTAGTGTGAGGATCTCAATACCATGGATACTCGTCACTATTCAGAAACGAGATGGTATTTTATGCTTAGATTTTTTCTTGAACAACCAAATAGCAAAATCAAAAGACTGATTAAATAGTGAAATCTAAGGCTCTTGTTTTAAAGTTTCCATTCTCCTTGTACATGATACTGTCAAATAAATTTGATAAGAAAATATGAAATCAAGCCTATATAATACAGGATATCCTATACATGGTAAAGAATGTTAATTACAAAATATCTGTACTTTACAAGATCACCTACAATCACAATTTTCCCCTCAATTTGTGCATTTGGACTCCTGTAGATCCCTGACCTGAGAACCTTGTCATACCATGGCAAGACCCATTAAGTAAATCAAGATCAAGCCCAATGATATTTCATTTAAAGGATTAAGTTCTTTCTATCTCTTACAGGGATCCTAGGTAATTAGCTTTTATTATATTCTAAATTCCCAAATATCTAGACCCAAGTGATGTGACTGTCAACACACATAAAAAAGAACAGAGGGCCTTATCCTAATGAAGGTTACATATAGCTCCAAAACTTCTTGCAACTTTTGCTGTAAGCAGGAAGAAAAGCAGACAGCAGTTGTTCCCTTCTGTCCTGAAACAAGGGCAGGAGAAAGCATGTGGTGAAAGATTTTATTTATATAGTCCATGCAGAAAGGACTGGCTTGTAGTCCACCACTGCTGCCAGAGGTGGGCACAGAGAAAGTCCATAAAGTCTAACATACCATTGCTGCTCTGACTGCTGTTACTGCAGTAACTTCAAGAAACACCTGCCATACATCAACACCCCACAGTGTCAGGCTCTGTACTAACCCGGGACAAAGGATGATCCTTCCAACTGAGTTTTACCATTCAAAAGCACAATAAAATATTCTTTATGCTAACACTCCCAGATCCATACTGATCTGAATCACAACACAAGAGATTGGCACCTGAGACAAGCTAATCTCTTCAGCAATGTGAGTGCCACCTGAATCTTTAATTTATCTTTGCTTACTGCTCTTCTGGCTCACATGGCTGTCAGTGATCTGCAAGGCCGTTTCTGCAGGTTGCTGCTGGTGGACCTATCTATTCCCTGTTATCTGTACTTTCATTCTGTTTGATTGGTTTTTCAAATGTGTCCTCCTAATCACTCCCCATTCTTCCTAGATGGGTTTCACTCTCTCAACTGAAACAGGTTCTCCAGTGTTCTGGATGTTTCTGACACCTGGAAATTGGCAAAAAAATAGAGATTTTGAAAATGTCATGTAGTCGCCTCCTGCATTATAAATAATTGCCAACTCTGAAGGCCTTTTTTCAAGGTAATTGGTGATGAGAGAATTTATACTTCATGTAATTAACTGAGTATGTTTTATGGAACTAAGGCTGGGCATCTGAAAAATAGTACATTAGCAGTGATTCTGCTTCCACTGAAATGGGCCCATCTAGTGATCAGAATTTTATTTGCCTAGAAAAAGCACAGGTGTTAGAAGGACGTGAAATGACAGTGATGTAAAATATGTAGGAAAATATTCTGAGTTCAGTTGAGGGGTAATGTAATAGTAAAAAAAAGCAGGTAAACTGAATACTTTGTGCACACAAAATATATTGCTTCAAATTAATAGCATAGCACAGACATAGATGACAATGAGCACAGCCATGTATTTGTCTTTGTCATAACTGTGCATTGAATACTAAATTAACTCAAAACCCAAAACAAGTTGGGGACGTAGAAAGCTTGTGTCTGTCATCAGTGCAGGAGTGCTGGTGTAGAGCTAGAGTAACATAGTAAGAACCAGGGACTGTGATTGAATCAATTATCCTGAGATGCTGATATAAGAACTTCATGAGTTCTCATAAAGAAAATAATTTATTTACTTTTGTGTGAGTCTCTGAGTAAAGACAAAGAAATGCAGTGAAGTCGCAAGTGCAGAAGCTTTGATGCTGCAAAACTGTAGCCTGATCCTGTAGTGTTAATTAGAAAAAATAATTATAAATTCTCCCAACTACTGAAAGATGATGCAAGAAGCAATATCTGATTCCCCTGTTTGTATTCCCTGTTGAATTCTGATGTTATTCATGTTTACTTTACATATAAACAGAGATAAGGTCAAGATAGTCCGCTTAGACCATAGACAGTCCTGTCTTACCTCCATTTGTGTAAGCAGAATCTGGACCTCTAATAGCAGCAAGGAAGAAGCTATCTGGGAAGAAATGATAAAATACAAAGGAAGAGTATGATTTTCCTAAGTGAAACCAGACTTCATCTGTGAAGATGTCACTGCTTGACACAGTGTGGACAGATGCTTTTGTCTGTGGATTAATCTCACTAGAAATCTCACTAGAAGGGGGCAGAGATCAGGATTCAAAATGTAAATAGTGAAGGAAATTATCTTTCTCTCTCATCCTACAGAAATGAACGAGAACGTCTTCAAAACCTGACAAGAGTGAGTGGGATCCTGCCTGGCTCAAGGGCAATAAGCAAGCTTCAGCACGGGGGATTGCAGAGCAATGGCACAAACAGGGTACAGGGACCAAGTGCCCTCTGGCTTTTAAAAAAATATTTGAAGTTTTCAGGGTTTGTTTTGAAAAAGCAAAACAAACCATGAAACATAAGGAACTCTCTCAGCCTAGATGTGATAACAAGCAAAGAATTGTGCAGGTATGAACAAACTGTGCTAGCAGCCAACTAGGGGGTGGAATCAGCTCCCTTAACTCCAGGTGTCCAAAGGACCTTGTTTCAGGTAATCTCAGTTTCCTTTAGGGTGTCTGTAGAGCCAGAGAGGGAGGACTGTTCAAAATACCACAAATTGCTCTCTGGATATACTTTTCTTTTTTCACTGACTAAAGCAGCTCAGACAGTCACTTTGGTCCAGACACCCAACTCGAGATGCATGGAGTTAGATAAGTCTTTAGTAACCCAAAGCGTACCAGAATCTTACCTGTCAAAGAGGGTCACAGAGTCATGTTCCACACCAGGCTTGCAGCTATCATCAGGACCTTCAGTCTTTCTCTGCGACAGCAAATGGACAAACCAGCTCACAATGTCACCCTGCAGTGAGACAGTTCTACCAGTTCAGAAGCAAGTTTCCACAGCTGCTTGAAAACTGGTCAGCCCAGACTCCTCGGTTGGTGCTCAAAATGAGTAAGTTGGTGGTGTTTTGAGTGGATGGTAAAGGCTATTGCACTAAGAGTTTACCAGAGCTGGTAGAAATTGCTAACATCTGGAAAAGGAGATCTGAAAAATGGATTCTAAATATAAAATCTGGTTTTACATGGACAACTCTTCCATGAGGCCCCACAGTACATGCTCTTCACATCCCCTGAACATAGAATACACTGAGTATTCTATTCATCTGATTCACCATTTTAAATTGTGGGCTTCTGATACCAACTTCGTAATACACTTCAAGTATTACGAATGAAAGATCCAGATGTGGTTACACTCACTGTTATTCTTTAATCCCCCAAGAAGTTTGCTGAAATGATGGCAGGTTACTTTTGGCTGTTTTTTGACTTAATTTTCCTGTGTGCACAAATGATGTTGACTACAATATCTATATGATCAAAATTAGTAACCATTGTGCATTATTTGTTTTATCACCACCTTGAACATATAAATCAGAAACTGAGTGGTGAGCACTGGCTGCCATGATCTTGGATGTGTGAAGATCAAGTATAGCAAAGATTTACTTAGGAGTCCAACACCTCATTAAATGAGGGACTGGACAGGGGCCGAATAAAAAAGCCACGAGGCTGAAAATAAAGAAAGTATTTCACAAGTTTGCCCATACTCCAGGGAATAGCTCTAGCTCAAAACATAAAAGGGATGCTTTGACTTACAAGCATTTGGCATGCTTGTTCAATTTACAGTCATTAAATATGCAAAAATTAAGAAAATATTCTGGAAGCTTTATTAAGCATTCTGCCTACTCTAGTAAGGCATATCTTGGTTTGAACTCAGTTGAGAGAGAGGTTCTCAGGCTTTACCAAAGGCACAAAATGTAGCAATCATATGCAAAATATAATTACAATCATCAGCACTGAGGAACAGACCCTTGCATTTCTGACACTTAGTTGCCTTTTTCTTGATTGTTGAGCCTTTTGGGTTAAGTTATCATAACTTCTGCTGCATTTCTTTTGACAGAATCAAGCAGGGTCTTAGCTGCTCCAGCAACAAGCTATTACTACCAACCAGGAAAACCCTCTACCTTCAGTTCAGCCTGTGGACTCTGTGCAATGCGAGGAGACAGGTACGTAAGCAAGGAATTTTCAGAGAAAAGAGTTGAACACAAGGTGTCTAATAGGAGCAGACCCCTCACAAGTCCTACAATTTAAAAGTAGCAGATATCCATTTGCGCTTGGCATTCTCAGTCAGTGCATCCTGGTCAACCCTTTAACGTGAAGGACCTCAAAGTCTATTGCTTATGTGGTGCATAGGTGTGGTCTGTGTCCTCTCTTCTTTCCATCATCTATGCTGGGGTGTGATTGGACAATTCATGGCTGCTCTCTGTCATGCTCCTATGTTTCCTTCCAGAGAGAAGGAATTGTCAAGTCACTGGGCCCTTGGATTCAACCTGCTCCAAAAAATTTACTTGCCTGTGTTTCGTGAGGACAGAAAGGGCACTGACAATGTTTACCCTAAAATGGGGTCAATAGCAGAGCCTGTGATGGGAGCTGTGGGCAGTTCAGCAGAAATACATTGTTGGTGGGCTGGAACAAGCACACGGACATGCACATAAGCACCTAATGGGTGTTGCTGTCTGTTTAGGTCCCAGGCTACTGTAAAGTCAGGCTGTAGCTGTGCAGAGGGCTTGAGAACTGAAATGGTCTTTAGATAGTCCAGCATGTCTCCAGAGAGATCTGAATCTGCCATGGTGTGGCTCTCTAGTTGATTTACAATGATGCAAGAACTTGAAACAACTTTTTTTTTCCCCCAAAAGCACTGAAACACAACAGCCAAGTAGGCCCTACAAAAAACTTTGTTAGTGGTGAGAAAGTCGTACGACTCTACATGTTATGGGTTTGTTCTTGAAGCTGAAGTGGGTTTTGTGACAAAGCAGCACTGTCTGTGGTGACACCTGCCCTCTGTGAAGCCCTTGGGAAAACCCCATGACCTCAAAGGGTGAGCAGCCTTGAATGTGGGAACCAGTGAGCAGGATCAGGTCTGCTGTCTGTCCTGTCTGCTACTGAATCTCTGGCAGAGAGATGCTCAGTTACAGGTGCTTTGGAAGAAGATGCTAAGTACAAAATACTCAACTCTTAAGGCAGTATCTTGTAGCCAAGATATTGTAATTGGTTTTTGTCCTTAAGCTAGGTTTAAGATTATTTAGATGTGTTTATTTAATTACATGAGATATTACATGGATTCTTTGGACATGGAAAAAGCCACATTCTCAGTCTTGGAGACAAAACAATTTCATATTTTGGTTTCTTTTTCACTGTGATTCAGGTGACACTTTGTGGTCTCTTTGGAGTAGAATGCATTTTTTCGTGGTTCAGACTAGAGTACTGTCATATGCCTCATGAACCAAATAACTCCTGCCTTCCAAACCCCAAGGATTTATCACCAAAAACCCACAAGATGTGCAGTGTGCTATTGAAGTTTGCTTCTTTCCATTTGGCTTTTAACATGTGAGTTGGACTGGGAAATACAGAGCATGTGGGGCCCCGAGACAGCCTGGCACAGTTGCTGAAACACATGTCAAGTGCATCAATGCATGTTGACCTGTGCCAGGCTTTGCACAGGTTGGGAAGTAATGCAGCCACAGTCATAATCACCGCTTCCCTCCCATGGGAATTCTGTGCATGCTTGTGAAATACTACCTAGGGGATGTTGCTGGCTGGGAAAGTGTGAGAATACAGCAATGGACAAAGCTGTTTTCTTCATTCCATGTACAGAACCTTCTCGTTTCTTGTTTACAGTGCTATAAAGTATTTTGTAGTTGGACCTTTGTTCTGGGTGCAGCTTAGCCTTGAGCTGGGTTTGCTTGTTTGTTTCCATTCCTGCTTCATTTCCTCTGCCTGCTTCCCAGAATGACTAACACTGTCTGTGCTACTTCCTTTGTCTCCACAGCTTCCCCTCAGAGCTCTATCATGGACGTGGACAACTGCTGTGCTGATCCCCCGTGTTTTGCCAAAAGTGACCCACTCAGAAGCAAACAGCATGGGAAAGTCTGCTAACAGCATCTGAGAGGTGACTACTTCATAGAATCATGGAATTGTTTAGGTTGGGAAAGACCTTTGAGATCATTGAGTATAAACATTAAGCCTGCACTGCCAAGCCCCCCACTTAACCATGTCCCTGAGTGCTACATCCACACATCTTTTAAATATCTCCAGGGATGGGGACTCCACCATTTCCCTGGGCAACAGACTTTTATTTTTTGTTAAGAAAATGCAAATCTTGTTAGGCTTTCCTTTCTTTCTATTGCATTACATGAGCAAAGCAAGATGCATGTGCAACAAAGAGAAAGAGGTCCTGTGTTACCTGATGATGTAGTTTGATGCCGGCAACTAACTCCCACACAGCTGCTCGCCCAGTGCCTCCAGAGGGATGGGGGAGAGAATCAGAAGGAGAGAATGAGTGAGAAAACTCATTCATTGAGATAAAGGCAGTTTACGAGGTAAAGTAAAAGCTGTGGATGAAAACAAAGTGAAACAAGGAATTCATTCATCCCTTCCCATGTCCAGGCAGGTGTTCAGCCATCTCTGGGAAAGCAGGGCTCAATCATGTCTAACAGCTTTTGAGAATACAGACTCCATCACTCTGAATGTACCCCACTTGCTTCTTCTTCCCCCAGCTTTATATCCTGAGCATGACACCATATGGCCTGAGATATCCCTATGGTCAGTTGGGGTCGGCTGTCCTGGCTATGTCCCCTTACAACTCCTTGTGTATCTCCAGCCTCCTCACTGGTGGGGTGAGCTGAGGAGCAGAAAAAGCCTTGACTCTGTGTAAGCAGTGCTCAGCAGTAAGTAAAACATCCCTCTATTACCAACACAGTTTCCAGCACAAATTCAAAACCCAGCCCCATAGTAGGTACTACGAAGAAAATTAACTCTGTCCCAGCTAAAACCAGCATACCTGGTGTAATTTCTGATGGCTTAATATGAGTGTGGGAGATATAAAGTGGCAGCAGACTTCTTTTGATCATTCATATTCATTGAAAATGTGTTTTCATTTTTTTCACTTTGTCTTATATTTTGCTGGTCTGTGCCAAGCTTTTTGCTCTCCCATAATTGATATGATACATCTTCTCAGATGACAACTCACTTTATCATTTCAAGCCTGTTAAGCCTCCTTGCAGACCTCCACCACAGCGCTTCAGACTCTGCAGCGTCTTAGCTGCCTCTGCAGCTGCTGGCAGCCTCTGAGCTTAACTTCTGGTTCATAGGTTTTCACCTCTTCTCAGAAAGTAAAGACACCCCCCTAGCACAGGAATGGCTTCATGCGCTAATGTGTGCCCATGCACTGCAAGTGTGGTGAGCTGATTGGTTTGAGTGAAAAGGGTTGAACTATTTCCCTTGTTTACTACTGTTTTCTCGTATTTTGCAAGTTTAAGTGAAAATGAATTTGAACTGAATCCCACTGTGGTTGGTGAAAGAATTCCTGCTAATTTCAGTGGATGTGGGAGATTGGCCCTGAAACATACAGCTCCTCAGGATACTTACCTTGACCAGCTTTGCACTTCAAGTTATCTCACTGGTTTCAGGCAAGTATTTCAAGGCTTTGCTGAATCCATTGGAAGCTCACAGAGACCATGATTCAAATCTTTTGTGGCAATGGAGCAATGACAACTCAAAATGCAGCAAAGTAATGGGAAAAGCAAGAGTTCTGTTCCTTAACAAGAATGATTCAACAAAACCAAAATGAGTCAATGTAAGTTTGCGAGTGGATTTAATGCAAGTTCTACCAAGCCTAGAACATGTTTTGAAATGTACAAATTTTGCCAAAAGAGAATGTTTTATCTCTGTTTTGTTTATTGCTTTGATATAAATTAAGATATTGATAATATTACTCTGGACTGTTACCTGTATCTTCAAAACTGTGGAAAATATAGTGCTAGTGGAATGGTTGTACCAAGGCTTGGGACATCAGTTGAGACTAAGAGGACGTGGATCATTCTACAGCTTCATCATGGACATCCTAAGTGCCCTGTGTCAGCTACTGCATCTCATTTCCTCATTTATAAAATATGAATTGCTGTGACTCTCTGTTTGAGAGAATGCTGTCAGCATAATACCTTTTCACGATTATGAGACACCTGATAGTGATTAAAAGCACTTATGCGAATAGATGAAACCTGTTGAGACACACAGATGGACAAAAATAAAGAGGGAGAATCTGAACACAGGAAATTGTTTTCTGCTGAATTACACTGTAACAAGTTTGATATTACACACACCACTCCAACACACAAATACATATATTTTGTACATCCTTTAATAGGAATCCTTCTGAATATACACATCTTCTGAATAAACAAGGGAAAGTATTTCAGGATATTCTCCCTGCACAATCTCAGACATTACTCATTGGTGAAAAGCGTGTGAGCCAGGAATTTCCCCAGCTTGTCAGCTTTCTGGGAAGCTGAAGCCAGGCCCTATTGCTGGGCAGGGCTGGCACATGCAGGCTGCTGCCCAAGATGGCACCAACTGCAGTGTGCTCCCGCTGCGCTGCTGCTCTGGGAACCAATGTGCAATCATGTCTTTCATGAAGGATGGTGGAAGGAAAGCAGAAATAACATTGCCCTACTGAGATATGTGAGACACATAAGAGGGGCCATAAAAAGGCAGGTGTGTCTGTGTGTCTGACCTGACTGTCTACTAGCAATACTTTTATTCTTTTGTAGAGCAGATTAATGAAATAAGGTTTTAAACTACGTTAAGTGGCTAGGGACTGCTATTTATTTAAATAAAAGAGTAATCAAACACTCTGACTTTCTCTGTGCTACAGAATGAAATGGGTTTGGGACAATCTTTTGGCCAGAGGACAGGGGATATTGTGGTTTATCTCCTCATGGTTCAAATCTCTCCTCTGTCAGAATAGGGTGGCCTCATCCATCCATCCATCCATCCATCCATCCATCCATCCATCCATCCATCCATCC